GAAACGCCATAGATCTGTAACTGTTCCAGAGGTTGAGCTTGCACTAAAAGAATTTGTGTTAAATTATCAGCATAAAACTATCTTAAGCGATGCTATGCTAATTGAGAAGGCAAAGTTGCTTGCAGCTGGATTAGGGGTTCCGGAAGGAACTTTACAATTTTCCTCTGGCTGGTTGCAAAAATTTAAAGAACGTAATGGTATTCGGCAAGTAAAGCCCCAAGGTGAAGCTGCATCAGCAGATAATGTGGCTATTATGAATGCATTACCATTGTTAAGATCTAAATGCGCTAGTTATTCACTTGATAGAGTGTACAATATGGATGAAACGGGGCTTTTCTATCGATTAGAACCGGATCGAACCTTGGCAACCCACCGTATTGCTGGACGTAAAGTGAATAAAGAACGTATTTCAATTGCACTATGTGCAAATGCAGATGGCTCACATAAACTTAACCCATTAGTAATTGGCAAATACCAGAAACCAAGATGTTTCAAAAATATAAATCTTAAAAACATGCCATTTATGTATCGGAATAATGCCAAAGCTTGGATGATTATAACAGTTTTTCAAGACTGGCTTAAAGAATTTGATCGTCAAGTTGGTCTAAAACATAATGGTCAATCAGTACTTTTGCTTTTAGATAATTGTTCTAGTCACAAGCTCGATTTTTTAAATCTACAATATGTAGATGTACATTTTTTACCTGCAAATACAACATCAAAAATCCAGCCAATGGATGCTGGAATAATTATGAGCTTTAAAAGACACTATCGTCGTCATCATATTGCCTGGATGTTGCAACAAATAGAGGCAGGATATCGTGCAGAAGACTTAAAAATGGATGTTTTACAAGCCATTCGGTACACTATTCAGGCTTGGAAAGAAGTAACTAATGATACTATTCGCAACTGCTGGCGTCATACTAATATTCTTCCTAAAAGCTTTAATGCAGACCTACGAAATCTCTCAGAAAATATTAATCAAAATGTTGAATCTGAGATTAATGATCTCATTACAATGATTGAAAACCTTAATTTTTCGGATCCTATGCAAGTTGAAGAGTTTCTAAATATCCCCGATGAAAATCTTGCTTATGAGATTCCTGATGATGAACTTGCGATTGCAGAGCTTGTAGAAATTTTTAAGAATAGCGACACTGTGGAAGATTTGGATGAAGTAGACGAAATAGATGATAGCTTAGAGGTTCCTATAGTTAGTGCTGATTCTGCACTTGAAGGTTTGGAGACCGCTTATATGTATCTGCTACAACAAGAAAATACAAGTGAGCAGTTAAAGTTAGTAGATAAAATCAAGAAAACAATTAAAGAAAAAAAAATAAATGCAATGAAACAATCAAAAATCAATCGGTATTTTAAATAAAATATCAGAATTCGAATGGAGGTAATTCATTTATTTATTATCTAAAGCCTTAAAATTCGATGAAAACAATGTACTGATTAGTTTAAAAATCTGTAGAAATTGGCTGTTTACTCGAAGCTTATAATTTTGAATATTATCATCGGGAACGGGAAAAAATTTGTGTTAAAAAAAAGACAAAAAAAAAAACAAAAAAAAAGAAAAAAAAAAAAAAAAAAAATTTAAGGTGGGTAGTTATAGGTCTATAAAAATTTGCTAATTTCGCTAATATAAACTATTCAAAGAACTTTACATATGGTATTAAATATATAGTTATTTTAACTTTCTGGTATTTATCGATGGAATTGGGTATATAATCTCGGGATAATATAGGATCAATAAGCTTTTACCATTGAATTTCGGAAGAAAATATAATGCGCCTTTGTCAAAGTATTTTTAAAATAAAGTATTTTTGAAATTTCTCCATAAAAAAAAGAGATAAATAAAAAAGCTTAATCGAATAAAGTATATTCTGATCTTTCTGTATATAATAAATCGAAAGTGAGAGTGATTAAAATTGATAATTTGATTGGTCGGTTATCACGTGATGTATTCGTGATAAAATCTCTAAATGCACACCCTCCCTAAATGCACGTGTGTACCTGATTCTAAGAGCGTGCACTTAGAGAGGTTAGACTGTA